CGTATTGTATAATATCAACTTATTTTTAGACTATTTAATTGTTTACAGATACAAAAACATGATATTTAACTTCTCCAACTGAAATGTGTATTATTAAAATTTTCTAATTTTATGAATTTGAATTGCTAATGTAATTTGTTGTATTTAGTCATTTTGATCAAGTGGATGTTGTTCTAACCACATGTAAATAACTAAAAAAAGAAGACAAGGAGGCAAGAAGTTACAGTATTTCACTAATGGAATTTATTAACTCATGACATTTGTTTACATTGATGTATTTACAATTATTCACTTTTAAAATGGTAAAACAACACTAAATTTAAACATTTCATGAATTATGAATTAGAATTGGTATACGTACCTACACAGAAAGGAGGTGGTTCACAAAAATGTGGTGTGCTGATAGTAGAATATGCCTCTACCCAAACTTGAACCAACTTACCTTAACCCAAGCAGCATCAATGAACAAGAGATTCGAATTTTACTTAGCTGGAAAAGGTGCACAATCTGTTAATTAAAAAAAAAAAAAAAAAAAAAAATTAGTCATATTATACATACATACATACATACATACATACATACATACATACATCTTCTTCCGCTCATCCGGGGCCGGGTCGCGGGGGCAGCAGTCTAAGCAGAGATGCCCAGACTTCCCTCTCCCTAGACACTTCCTCCAGCTCTTCTGGGGGGATACCGAGGCGTTCCCAGGCCAGCCGGGAGACATAGTCTCTCCAGCGTGTCCTAGGTCTTCCCTGGGGCCTCCGCCCAGTGGGACGTGCCCGGAACACCTCCCCAGGAAGGCGTCCAGGAGGCATCCGGAACAGATGCCCGAGCCACCTCAGCTGACCCCTCTCGATGTGGAGGAGCAGCGGCTCTAGTCTGAGCTCCTCCCGAGTGACCGAGCTTCTCACCCTATCTCTAAGGGATCGCCCAGCCACCCTGCGGAGAAAGCTCATTTCAGCCGCCTGTATCCGGGATCTTGTCCTTTCGGTCATGACCCAAAGCTCATGACCATAGGTGAGAGTAGGAACGTAGATTGACTGGTAAATCGAGAGCTTTGCCTTACGGCTCAGCTCCTTACCACAACAGACCGGTACATCGACCGCATTACTGCTGAAGCTGCACCGATCCGTCTGTCAATCTCCCGTTCCATCCTTCCCTCACTCGTGAACAAAACCCCAAGATACTTAAACTCCTCCACTTGAAGAAGGATCTCTCCACCAACCTGAAGTGGGCAAGCCACCCTTTTCCGGCTGAGGACCATATTATACTATTATAGTCATATTATACTAGGTATATTTTATTTCCCAAATGCTTTAGAAGCCAAAGTTTCCATCCACTCTTCTACCTGATACTCAAACAGTACAAATAAAAAAAGAAAAGTTTTATTTCTGTCTTATTTGTACTGTTTGGGTATCAGATGCTTCAATGTAAATCTAGCTTAAAATGTAATGTTGTCAACTTTCATCAAGAGCTATGCGAGTACACATCAGTTTGGTACAGTGTGCCAAACTTCAAGCCTACACATTGAAGTAAGCATCAGTTAACATTTAGATATCAAATTGCAATGTTAGTTAAATCCCAAAATTTAGCACTGCTATGTAAAATATGACTAGCAATCCAATCACAACAAGGCAACAACTAGTGTGTTATGGTACTATATACTGTAAAACAGACAACTGAACAGACAAATCATTGCATTGGCATATTCCATTAGATCGCCGCTGCGTGACTGCAGGACTTCCCCTGACCCGCGACACAGGGGGTCCATGCAGAGTGAACGTCAAACGGCATCAGCCTTCATGAATACCAGGTCATCGATGTTGTTATCCAACTTTTCCACTGTGTGGAGGTACTTTTGTAGTTGCGCATTGTAGACCCATCCGCACCAAGTGACAACACACAATAATTAAATGTCCTCGTACCAATGGCGCCACCAGGGGGTGGCCAGGGGTGGCCATGGCCACCCCTGGCCGACTCCTGGCCACCCCATTGGCCACCCCAATGGCCGGTATTAATTTTTGTAGCATCAGTTATGCATTTTATAAATAAGTCAAAAATATTCTTAAGTAAAAGAAGACGGGGAATTATGTGTCGTGACGTGCTTTTTAAGTGCCAAATGGTATACTGTTACAGCAGCTCTTTGATGTGTTTTTGCCACGTTTGGACAGGCAGGGATGCAAACAGCGCGCTTTTCGGCGCCTCCCGCTTTTTTCACGTCAGTTTGGGTGACAAAGTCATCTGAAGTCATTCCATAGCTTAATGTGAGGGACAGAAGTATATTTACATCATTAAAGTATACGGAAACTAGTTTTCCCTCCTCTGCGGCTGTCAATCATTCTCCATTCATATTCAAACAGCACGCGTGCCTCTTGGATGCACAGTAAAACTCTCTCCAATATGATATATTCACGTTATAAATGCATGATCTGTAGATAAAAGGCTGTATATTGGCATAAAATTACTTTATTTTCTTGGAGTTTGTTGCTGTTTTTAAACGACTCACTACCGTGTGCTTGTTACTGTTAGATCACACATATCACAAGGACTATGAATCGGCATCAAACGCACAATAACTGTGAAACAAAGGAACAAATCGCACTAGAATTTGTGTGCTCAACATTTCTTCGATTTGTGACATGAGCTTTTAAATGCGCACTTATGCCGTGTAGTGCTGCTGCACACTGTGACATGTTGCTTTGAGCACATCATTCTGCACCCCTACTAATATCATTAGTAACATTAAATATTACACAATAAACCAAAGTATATCAGTAGGAGTTTGCTTAAGTCTTTCTGATAGTTTTCTACACAACAGTAGAATACAATTCTGAAATTATGGTTTATACTGTAGTTTTGGTGTGCCACCCCAAGATTTTAACTGGCCCCATCTGGCCACCCCTATGAAAAATTTCTGGAGGCGCCACTGCCTCGTACGTTAATGATGCCACTTCTTCATGTCATCCTCACTCGTGAATAGTTTGAGGGTGTGGCACTGACCTGCCATTTCGATTGTTTAGTGATTTTTGGAAATGTTCCCACGACACAGTTCACAAACTTACGACCGTTTCACACATAGGCCTACTCCGTTTGCAGTCCGTATGCGGTTTCACACTGCACACGGATGCAGTCCGTCGATCCGTTCCAGTTGCGGTGCGTAATACAGCAGTAATACAGATCGTTTCCGTATCGAGTCTATTTCTGCTGTGCTGCAAACGCAGAAATAAAGTGACAGCGTACGGTTCGTGGTCAAAATGAACTCAGATTGACCTCGAAATGTAGTAGTTTCACCATAAATGCATTTAATTCAATAAAATGTAGTAATCTCTCCATAAAGGTATTTAATTGTTTCATATTTTTACTTTAAGACATATAAGTAATGCATGGAATTGTATATTCGTTGTTTAAATCGTGTTTAAACGATCATGCGTCCATTCAAGTTTGTAAAAGAGAATCGCAAAGCCATGGCAAAACTTTTATTTTAATAAAAGTTGCTGCATATGGTGAACATATTTTGATTACCAAAAACCAGGACACATGGCCCAGAAAACAAATGATACTCGAAGTTTACTCAAAGATGCCTTATTAATTTCAATACAATTAAAATAGGCTATGCCCCCTCTGTGGATGGAAAATTGCTGTATTAAGACACAAATTCAGATAGCCTTCTCAGAGGATACTCAACATGTTTTATTATGACAGGTTGGTTTAAAAAATAATGAATGAAATAATGATTAAAAAATAATGTCTCTTCTGTTTTAGAAAAATAAATAAATATAGGCTATAAATATTAATTAACTAATTAACAGTTGGTCACTGATCACGCTATTGCTGCATAAACTTCTGATTTTGAAATAAAAATAGCGAGTGTTTGTGGTACAGCTCACGCACTGCAAACGCAGCATAGGCTACGTGAAAGCACTTTAGCGCGTGCGACTCCTGTACCAGATACGCACCGCAACACTCACCGCATACGCACTGCAAACGGAGTATGTGTGAAACGGGCGTTAGTTCAGCTAACGTTAAGGCCAATTTATACTTCTGCGTCGAGGGTACGCCGTAGTGTACGGCGTTGGCTACGCACGTAGGCGACGCCGTTGTGAGCATTTATACTTCTGCGTTCAGGTCTTGGTTGCTCTGCAGTACTGCTCCGAAACGCTAGTTGGCGGCGGAGAGTTTTAATGTTCCACTGTGTTTAGATTCCTCGCGGCTAGGTTACTACGAGTGAAAGAGAGCTGATCATGTTGGAATTGGAGCTTATTAAGGTGGAAAAACAGTTCACTTTAGTAAAATTACTAAAACTGAAAGGCAGAAATGAGAGAAGACTTCGGAGGAGATGAAACTTGTGGAAATCATAGACAGTGGTGGAAATGCGTGAGAAGGTACGTGCGGAAATGCGTAGGAGGAAATGCGATGCTACCAAGCCAACCAATCACCGATCTTGCGGTCCGCGTCGTCGCGACGTGTAGTTACATTTTTGAGGAGGTGCGCGTCAGGCGACGGCGAAGGGTACGCGGTATGGGACGCGTCTGTGCGTATGCTACGCCGTACCTACTGCGCGCACCCTACGCAGAAGTATAAATTGGCCTTTAGTTTGCCCAGGAAAGCGAAGAAACGGAAGTGCCGCACAAAACCGGAAGTTGGACCTATAGTTACTTCCGCGTTCGAAAATAAGGTGAATAGGCCCCTCTTTAAAGAGATAACATTAAATAATAACCGAGATAATGTAATTGCAGTCGTATTGTCCCCCCACCCCCACCCACACCCAAATTGCAAAGAAGACCAATGCTTTTGCAAGTTCACCTCAACAGCATATTTTAACAATTTATAATTGATTTTTTTTCTTGAGCATGACAAAAAAATAATCCCATCCTCACACTAAAAAGTATCGCAAATGACTATTCCTAAAAAGAAAAATACTAGGAGGCTAACTGGAGGTCTTTTCATGCTTAACTATAGAAGTACAATTAAAATCATAGTGAAATTAACAAAACATCTTTATGACAAAACAATGGTATTTATTTGAATGATATACATGGAACATCATGCTACAAGACTTTAGGTCACATTATCAATAATGACCCAAAGCATGATGTGTACAATTACTGATGTCAAACCTATTGTCATAAAAGAATATGCACACAAATATAGTACTGGTCTGCAATCAGATGTGTACTAGTACTGATATCTTGAGAACAATTAAATACAAATCTTCACCTTTGTGTGGCCTTTACACGACTTTTGACAAGGTCTCAAAGCACATCCAAATTACACATTTAAATGTACAAAGCTGCATTTAGAGATTGACTAAGTATAGAGTAAAACACTACATTAAATGGATTAATGTTAATTCTGCAAGCACATCTGTAAGTGAACATTGTACATCTGTAACTAACCAACTCTACATTAACAACCTGCAGCCATGTGCCTAATAACTCTGCTCCTACCAGACTCAATCCATTTATCCAGAAACTTCTAAGACCTTACAAAGTGGGGAGTGAATTCAATGCTGGTTTAAAAAAAAATCATGTAAAACCAAATCTGCTCCTAACCACCTTCTAAATAAAACATAAAAATAAATGCGTAATTAAATGCAATACAAAGTTTAATATGAAAAAACAAAACCTGCGATAAAAAAGCAAACTGCAATTAAGATAAAAAAAAATAAAATAAAAAAAAAAACACGCGACATCATAGATGACAATACTTGCGGTTTAAATTTTTAACTTCCAACCATGAAAAATAAAACATTTAAAGGCATATGCTTTACACTCTCTTTGGTCCTTCAAATGTTCTTTTACCTAACAGATGGGTGAGCTGGAGCAATGAATAGGTGGCCTATTTACAAAGATCTAGAAGAGGTGAGAATGTGTAGTTTGTAATGACAAAAAAGCTAAAAGCCTTCACATTATAATATAAAGAAAATGGGACCAACAAGTCCATTGTGATTAAGGGAAGAGGTGTTAGAAGGAAAGAGCAATAATGCCATGACATTTTTAAGGTATCCCAAAAGTGTGCACAAACAAAAAAGGATCCTCTGATATATCGGACACTTAAATTGACCAGGGTTTTAGAAATGCCAGGCATCAGGGACAAATCACTTTTTCAAAATTCTATCTTTTGCTTAACCCCACAGTAAAACACTAACACAAATTTTTTTCACCCCAAACATTGTACGAGTAGGTTTATGAAGAGAGTCAACAATAACTGAAACCTCAATTAACTTTCAGATTCTTGAGACAAAAAAAAGTCCCTTTACTTGTGAGACTTGCTGGATTTGAAAGACACTTGTAGAACTTTGTCTCCCAGGCGGTATCCATTCAGGCTGGCAATGGCCATTGCTGCCTCCTCATAATTTGGCATGGTAACAAACCCAAACCCTTTGCATTTGTTGGTGTTAAAGTCACGGATGACCTTGACGTTGGTGACAGCACCGAACGGACCAAACATTTGCCACAGGATGCCTTCGTCTGCATCTTGACCCAAATTATAGATGAAAATACACCATCCAGAGGAAGAGCTGCCTGCCACATTCATTCCGGAGACGCCACTCATATGGTCAACACTCATGGGTGAAAACCTGTGAAAGCAAGAGATTAATCAGAGAGCAACTCTAGGACAGCTACAAGCTTTTCTCACAAACAGCCAACTATCAAGAACATCCAACACAAAAATTACAACAAAGTGAAGGATAATATTAAAGGCCCCATATTATGCCCCTTTTCACAAGATGTAAAATAAGCCTCTGATGTCCCCAGAATGTGTATGTGAAGTTTCAGCTAAAAATACCCAACTGATAATTTTTTACAGCATGTTTAAATTGGCGGAGATTCAAGAGATTTCCACGACGCATGCATGAGAACTGAACAAGAAGTAGTAGAAAAATAACGTAGTTCTCACGCATGCGTCATATGGAAATCTCTTGAACTCTCGTCTCAGGCCCAGAAGGAAGAAAAGGACTTGTTAAATAAAGTAGTTATTTTTGTTTTTTGTTTTCAGCACAAAAAGTATTCTCGCTTGATAAACTTAAAGTTGAGCCACTGTAGTCACATGGAATATTTTCTTCGATGACTTCCTGGGCCGTCAAGTTTCAATCCCTTAGGGTGCCTATGTGGTAGTGATACAGCTCTCAAATTAAATCAAAAATATCTTCATTCGTGTTCGGAAGACGAACGAAGGTCTTACGGGGTTGGTACAGAATTGGGTGAGTAATTAATGACTTAAATTTTCATTTTTGGGTGAACTAACCCTTTAAAAAATATCTAGCTTGGCATTGAACTTTGAGCTTTATAATTTTACAGATAAAAGATTTATGTATACTCTAACAACAACATTACAAAAGTTCAAAAGTTTGAAACATGGGATCACGAAGAACTGGACCTTTAAAGGACAATCTTCAGAATGAAGGACAATATTAAAATATTTCATTAAGTATTCCGCTTTCTCACCTGAAGCGCTGTGCCTGGTGGTGAACAGGTCCCCCAAACCGACGGGACTGAGTGTTGTAGAGCTGAGAAAGCAGTTGGGAATTCTTGGTCTGGTTTGGATTTGCAGCAAATTTCACTGTGATTGGTTCAGAGCCACCAGCTGGTTTGGATCCATTAAGATCTTTGATGGCTTCCTCCGCTTCAGACCTCTTATCAAAACGAATGAATGCAACTCCACGTGACAGCCCTGATGCAGGTAAGAAACCCCAAAATAGCTGATACCCAGACTACATTCAAGATGATAAATTACAAAATTCAGGACAGAAATCATTACCTGAGGCCTGATCGACCAGTACACGGGAGTTTATGATACGCCCATACTGTGTAAACATGTCCTCTACATCCTTCTGTGTCATGGTCTTCGGTAAACCACTGATGTAAAGGTTGGCATCTTTGATGCTGTCAGAGCTCGGCCGGGCATATGAGACCTGATTTAATGGAGAGATCACATGAAAGACCCCTTCCTTCATGGATACACACACACATATATATAATATATATATATATATATATATATAGCCATCATATTTGCCCCCATTACTAATGACAATGAAGTTTGTACAGCCAAAGCGGAACCTCACATTAGACTTTTACAAATGAAAAAGCAAAAAAAAAAAAAATACAATAAAATTCCGTAGTTCATAGATATTAAACAGTTTTTGTAGTCTATGCTTCCAACACACAAAGAAAGACAACTTTCAATTTGAAATAATCTACAATGCACAAAGTAAAGTAAAATAAAACTCTGGGACTTCAACGCAGGGCTTCTGTTCGGCACAATCTCATACTCAAGAAATTGACTTAATTTTACCCCTCCATTTCTACACCACAACATCACAATAAAAATGAAAGTAGCAGATTGATCATAAATGAACTTTAAAATTAAAAAGGTCACTGACTTCAGTATAATTCTGTACCGAATTTAAACCATGCTTAGACAGCCAATCATACAGATTATAAGGGCCAATATCTAAAGACTTCAAATGTCAAGAAAAATAAAATAAAAAAGCAAAACAATTAGGGAAAAAAAGAACAATAGTTGAAACAAAAAAAAATCATTCCTTACAGAAAGCAAGAAGGACTTGTACGTTGTCCTTTATTGCTTTTATTCTAGTTTAACATGGCATCTATAATGAAACATGATACAAAAACACCTCTTAGCACGTTACCTTGATAGTTTTAGACTGTAGTCTCAGGCCATTGAGTGTATTGATTGCCCTTTCTGCATCACTAGGGTTAACATAGTTAACAAATCCGTACCCTAAACTGTGGCCTAGAGAAAACAAAAGGGGGAAAAAAAAACAAAATAAAAATAACAAATGTTCGTCCACATCCTGCAGACTATTCTTTCTGGACAAAAGAAACAATACAAGCTAATCTTGTGAATGACAATTGAGAAAGAAAAAAAAATACATGTTCATCAAAAACAAGTAAAATTTGACATCAGACAAAGAAATGGTTAGGATACAGAAATAAAAAGTCAAACATCAAAAACTTTATAGAATAGTTTCTAAGAATAAACAAATACCTTCCTTCACACCTCCTTAAAAAAAAAAAAAAAAAAAAATTAGTAAACATTTACAAACATTTTCAAGTAAATAAAATACAGAATGTATACATTCAGCATGTCAACAATACATCACGTTTCTAAATAAAATCCACAGATAGTGAGATGCTGTGGGCAGAAAATAAAAATAAAAGCTAATGGCACAGATACATGAAGATGGCACCACATCGACATAATTTGGCTACTCCAGGTTCTCCACACTTCAATTGAAAATCGATAATTGTCCTCAAACAATAGGAAAACAAAAACAACCAAAAAAAAAGTACACTGTGCGTGCACGCAAGACAGGATGCCCACAGCATTAAAAGAACTGAGAAGTTTTAAAAATGTCAAGAGTCAAGCTTTTTGCAGTCTCACACTAAAAAAAAATAAATTTACAGAAAAAGCAAATGTGCTTGACTCAACACATTAGGGTGACACCAAATCTAATCAAAAGCTAAATGAAATTGAATTTTACCACAATGAATAATGAGTAAATCCTTTTCAAATAGAGGGGGAAAAAATTCTAATTTTGATCCAACTGTTTTAGAGCATAAAATACCACAGTAGAAAATTCTGCTACAAACCATGACCCAGGCTTCAATAAACTGCTCAAAGATCTGTTTTAATATCAACAGATCTTAAATATTGAAAAATCACTCCCTATAGACCTTAAATATGAAAATAAATTAATCCTCAAAAAAAAAAAAAAGAGCTGAAAATAAACAAGAACGTATGCAAAAAAAAATAGCCTTTGCCTACACATACAGATATCACAGAAGAGAAAGCCACAGACTCATTGTGTTGAGCTCATGTGAGACATACCTGCCATCTTGTCTCTTATGAGTTTGGCTGACTCCACCTCGCCAATGCTGCTGAAGAGACTGCGGAGCTCCTCCTGACTCATGTTCTGGGGCAGGTAGTTGACAATCAGGTTGGTTTTTGCATCACTTGGCTCATCACCCATGTGGTCCTCGTAACCGTTCGGCATATCGTATACTTCCTGCTTCACAGAAGAACATGCATTGTTTGCAAATCATCAAATTTACATTGGCACACTTAAACTGAAACAAAAAGAGCAAGTACAAATATCAATAATATCCAGCATTTGTCTACAGACAGAAATAAAGGCCAATTTTACCTTTACTGAGCTGGCACCCTTGTGTGAGTCTCTGTCATTACCCTGGTTCTGAACCTCACAAACCTGCAGCAACAAAACAGTTGCAACATTATATAAATATGGATCTAATAACACTATGCAATATACCGCTGTTTGCACGTTTTGGTTAGATGCTAACTGCAATTCCTGGGCTTTAAGGCCATTGCACACTGAGTCTGAAATTCGCATCCGAAATTTTCGCATGTTTAAAATAAATAAATAAATAAAACAAAAAAAAAACAAAAAAAAAAATCGACCTCATGTTATGTCAATCACGCTTGCACACCGCGTCCGAAACTTTCATCCGTCCAAAAAAAAAATTCGGATTGGGTTCGATTTTCTGCGTTTTTCGTATCCACAGCCAGCATTTTTAGAGGTTTTTTGAGAGGACAATTCAGGGCCGGGGGTAGCTCGTTAACTGTCTATGGAGCTCGTTCCGCACATCATTGCGCATATGCGTAGTGCTTTCATTTTCAGTTTTCAATTGGATCAAGTGTTTGTTCTCTTCTCTCGATTGGATTATGAAAGGAATAACCACCCCTTTCAATCAGATTGAAATTTCGGATCGATTAATGTGTGATTGAGCAGCCAATTCGATAACTAATGTATTATTTGGGTACAATTTATAACCTGTAGCCTATACAGCGCTGTCTGCCCAGCGCTTCCCCGTGCGCGTGCGTGTCTGTGTGTCCATACCTGACAGTCTCTGTTCAGAATCGATTGGTTCACGGAAATTGGTGGTCTTGTTTTTAAAATGTGGCTCCAGAATTGCAAGCAAAGCATCAAACTGTTCCACTGACATTCTGGGGTAAATTTTGAATCGCTTGGCATAAATTCGCAAATCCTTGATAAGGAGGTGCTTCCTCTCGGCGCAATATCAGGATTGGATGGACGCAATATTTTCTCTTTCTTCTCGAGAGGACAATGAAATCATCCTCACTGCTTGACGAATCCATTTTGTATTTTTGCGTTTTTTTCCGCAATCGGTTTAATAAATTCGCATCGGACTCAGTGTGCAAGGTTTCTGTGCGTGACGAATACGAAATACGAAAATACGAACGCATACGAAAATTGCATACTCAGTGTGCAATGGCCTTTATACTTGTATAATACCAATAAAGTTGAATCTAAAGGCCATTGCACACTGAGTCTGAAATTCGACCTCATGTTATGTCAATCACGCTTGCACACCGCCTCCGAAACTACGAAATTCGAAACTCCTTGATAAGGAGGTGCTTCCTCTCAGCACAATTTCAGGATTGGATGGACGTAATATTTTCTCTTTCTTCTCTTTTCAATAAGAGAGAGAACAACAAAATCATCCTCACTGCTTGACAAATCCATTTTGAATTAGGGCTGCAACGACAGGGTTCGTACACCTTTTCCTAGGTCAAATTCAAGCACTTTTCAAGCACTTTCAAGGTCCATTTTAAAGCTTTTTCCAGCACCTTATCCACCGTAAATTACAAAACAATGCATAGTAAAAAAATATTATTTAGTGGTTTTTCCACATTAAAAGAGATAGGCTAATATGAAATATACAGCCAAAATTGTGTTTCGTAATAGCAGAAGGATCAGATATTGAAGCAAAACACAGGTTTTATTTTTTTTAAATGTTGTTGGAGGATTTGATCCAAATGACATAGGGGTGGGCGGTATGACCAAAATTCTGTTTCACGGTAATACTAATTTTATTTCACGGTAACGATATTAGTTATTATCAGTAGTATATATCAGTAGTTATTTATACATGTAGTTATTCTCGAAAAATCATCAAGGGCTTTGTATACTAAATAAACCCAAATACTTCAGAAATGAAAAGTTCTTCTCCCTGTTTGACCTTTTTTGGCAAATAATTTATTAAGTAAACTATTTTGAGCTAAATATAGTGAACACTGACTGATATTAAATACAACTCATAGGTGCAATTAAACTTTAAATAAAGTGTTGCTGAATAATTTTTCAATCTCATGATATTTCTTTACCTTATCAATCAGTTTATAATATCTAAAAATTTTATTTTGAGCTATTCTATTCATAATAAATTAGTAACTTCCTTTTAATTTGGTAGGATAATATTAGCAATACTGTTATGTTTAAATGTGTTCCCTGGTACATTTTTCTGCTTATTATACTGCGTTTTTTAAGGGGCTTGTTTTGCTCTTTTTGTGATATCTGGCAACCCGTCACCTGACGTTCAGTTGTGTCAAGTTCAGAAGTGACTAGAAGGATAGCAGCAGTAAGAAAACCGAACAGCATTTACTGTTAATGTTGACTAAGTAAGTAGTTTATATTACACAAACCTTGTAACTGCGTCATTATTAGTGTGAATGCTTCAAGCATTCACACTCTTGAAATCCAAATCTTTCTTATTATTCCGTATTCTTCCGTACGTTTTTCGGTCGCTTTCTTCTCCTCGCTACTTTGTGCTACAAAAACCATTCAAGTATCAAAATGTGCAGCTTTTCAAGGACATGTGTGCTATTACTTTTCTTGTTTATAACCTTTATACTTTTTAAATTATTAAGCTTTTTGTGCATTTTTTTTAACATGGAAGTCAATGGAGAATTCTTCAAATTCTGCTTTATGCTCCTTCTGCTTTCAAAGCCTACTACTTCTGCATACTTTCAGCTATTTCTGTCATTTAAACTTTAAAATGTTGAGAAATTTGTAAGCTATTAAAGTTGTATTCAACTTTTTGATATCTATTATACTTTTTTCACAATCTCTACTTTAGTCTCATGATGTTTTTCAACCCGTTTCTGAAATTGTAATGGGAGTGAATGAGAGAGACTGTTCAGAGCTAGAGCACGTGCTAGAGTGAGCCAGCTTGAAACCTAATGCTAAAAAATAATTTTTAAATCGCTGGCCTGGCCACAATTTTCACTCTTTGGGCATAAAATTATACTTGAAACGTAGGTATTTTTGTTGTGGTTCCTCTCATGTGTTTAGTAAATCCCTGGGACTTATAGTTTTTTCACTGTGTCCTTCCAAAGGACAAGAGTGACAGACATTCCTCCATTGGCAGCAATTATAAATTCAGGTCAAACTTTTGTGATCAGAGCAATACAAACCAGTTTTTTAACTTGCCAAAGTGGTCCCTTTTTTTAACTCTATCCACAAAAAAAATACATCACATCGTTCACAAAGGCCTTGTCTCGCTCACGGTCAGGTCATTTCGCCAATACAACCTATAGTTTTGTCTCTATTGAGGTTTGTTCGAGGCCAAGTATCAGCAATTTTGGCCTCTGTCTAAATAGGAAAGCTGATTGCACAGGTGATGCTGATTAGCAAAGATCAAAGGGAGACACACATAACTGGTCCTGTGTTCTGATTGGTGGACAGTCACTCAGCTCTTTTCTGAAGGATACTACAAGTTTTTGTTGCATTTATGCCTCTACTTCTCCTGTTCTCCCTCTCTCTTCCCTCCTCTTCTCCTCCTCCAATCCTCTACTCCTCCTGTCCTCCTATTCTACCCTCCTTTCATAATCTCTTCTCCTTTCTACTCTTCCTTTTATCCTCTTCTATCCATCTGCCTGTCTTAACTATTTGACTTTCTGTGTCCAAATGATCTATAATGATCTATCTATGTATAGACTATGTGTGTATCTATCTGTGTATCTATCTATCTATCTATCTATCTATCTATCTATCTATCTATCTATCTATCTATCTATCTATCTATCTATCTATCTAACCCATCTATATTTCTAACTAATCTATCTTTCTTTCTTTCTAGATAATCTATCTTTCTTTCTAAATAATCTTTTCTTTCTAGCTATACTATCTATCTTTCTAACTGATCTATCTTTCTTTCTTTCTAAATAATCTTTCTTTCTTTCTAACTATACTATCTGTCTTTCTTTCTAACCAATATATCTTTCCTTCTTTCTTTCTAACTAATCCTTTCTTTATTTCTAACTAATCCTTTCTTTATTTCTAACTAATCCTTTCTTTCTTTTTTCATCCTTTCAAATCCATCTTTCTTTCTAACTAATTCTTTCTTTCTTTCTTTCTTTCTTTCTTTCTTTCTTTCAAATTCATATTTCTTTCTTACTAATCATTGCTTTCTTTCTTTCTTTCATCTATCTATCATCTATTTTTCTTTCTTTCTTTCTTTTTTCTTTATTTCTAATAATCTATCTATCTTTCTTTTGTTCTTTCTTTCTTTCTTTCAAATTCATATTTCTTTCTTACTAATCCTTTCTTTCTTTCTTTCAAATCCATATTTCTTTCTAACTAATCTTTCTTTCTTTTTATCTTTCTTTCTTTCTTTCTTTTTCTTTATTTTGAATAATCTATCTATCTATCTATCTATCTATCTATCTATCTATCTATCTATCTATCTATCTTTCTACCTAATCCATCTTTCTTTCTTCCTTTCTACCTAATCCTTCTTTTTTCTTTCTTTCTTTCTTTCTTTCTTTCTTTCTTTCTTTCTTTCTTTCTTTCTTTCTTTCTACCTAATTCATCTTTCTTTCTTTCTTTCTTTCTACCTAATCCATCTTTCTTTCTTTCTTTCTTTCTTTCTACCTAATCCATCTTTCTTTCTTTCTTTCTTCTTTTCTTTCTTTCTTTCTTTTTCTAATAATCCATCCATCCATCCATCTATCTATCTATCTATCTATCTATCTATCAAATCCATCTTTCTTTCTAACTAACTAATCCTTTCTTTCTCACTAATTCTTTCTTTCTTTCTTTCTTTCTTTCTTTCAAATCCATCTTTCTTTCTAACTAATTCTTTCTTTCTTTCTAATCCATATTTCTTTCTTTCTTTCTTTCTTTCTAACTAACTAATCCTTTCTTTCTTTCTCTCTCACTAATCCTTTCTTTCTTTCTCACTAATCCTTTCTTTCTTTCTTTCTTTCTTTCTTTCTTTCTTTCTTTTAAATCCATCTTTCTTTCTAACTAATTCTTTTTTCTTTCTTTCTTCTTTCTTTCTTTCTTTCTAATAATCTATCTATCTATGTATCTATGTATCTATGTATCTATCTATCTATCTATCTATCTATCTATCTATCCATCTATCTACAGTCTGTCTATCT